ATAGTGGTGCAGTGGTTAGAATGCAGTATTGCAAGCTAATTCAATGTCAAGCATTCAATGCTCACTGGCTCAAAGTTGACTCAGCCTTCCATCCTTCTGAGGTCAGTAAAATGAGGACCCAGATTGTTGGGGGCAATATGCTGACTCTGTAAAATGCTTAGAAAGCACTATGAAGGGATATATAAGTCTGAGTGCTATTGCTAATTAGGAGTGACATGATAACTGTTTTCAGTACATGATGGGCTGCTATAGAGAAGTGGGAGTCAACTTATTCTTCAAAGCTCCCAAGGTTAGGACAAGAAGCAATGGATAGAAGTTCATTATAGAGATCCAACCTGGAACTACAAAGAAACTTCCTGGCAGTAAGAACAAGTAACCAATGGAATAGCTGTTCCCATTTGAATACCATAGCTCTGTCAAACTTGGCAAGAGAACCTGGATTAGCCCCCTGATTTCACTATCAGTCATCAGTCCTCTATCTGCTTGTTTCTTGGACTTTTTCATATATACTCCTGCATGAACTGTAGTGGAAGGCAGTAGCAACTGCGGTGCTTTCATATATCCAACACTTTCTTTCTTTTCCAAACTATCATGAATGACCCAGTGGCTCAAGCAGGAGATCCTATACCATTTCGTTAATGGCTAGCCAGTCTCTTCTTGAAAATCTCCAGTAATGGGGCACCCACAACTTCTGACTGCAAGTTGTTTCATTGGTGGATTGTTCTCACTGTCAGAAAATTTCTCCTTATTTCTAGGTTGAATATCTCCTTGATCAATTTCCTTCCATTGTTTTTTTTGTCTGGCCTTCAGATGGTTTGGAAAATAGGTTGACCCTCTCTGTGACCCCTCACCAAGGTTGCATTGTATGTAAGGAATCAATACACCTCCATAGAAATACACAATACTAGGGACTAAAGCTTTCTTGAAAGTATTTGGGTAAATAGTATAATAATAATATCATACAAAAGGTATGATAAAGAAGACCTCCAAGATCCCTTCCAGCCCTATGATTCTATGTTCTGTGAAAATGACTTTGCTATAGAAGTGTACTACAGTCCAACCAACCAGCCAGAGGAAATAGCTGAACTCTTCACTAATCAGTTAGTTGAAGTGTGCAGGAAATACACCTCAATAGTAATGTAGTAAAGGGAGAATTTAACTACTCTGACATCAACTGGGAAACAAACACTGCAGGATGTGGAAGATCAAACATATTCCTCACAAGCCTAGGTGATAACTTTATCATACAAAAGGTATGATAAAGAAGACCTCCAAGATCCCTTCCAGTCCTATGATTCTATGTTCTGTGAACAATTAATAGCCATGCAGTTGAACAACTTTAAAGTATAAATATCTAGCAGTTGTTTTGCAAAGCAATAGGAAATCAAAGGTTCAAATAATCTATGCCATTTTGAAGATCCAAAATAATTCCGCAGCCATTCCAAGATTTTACAGATATTAAGAAGGGAAATTAACTCCAGTAGAAAATACATTGTTTCCTGCCAAATAATTAGTATGAATGATGTATGGAATCCACCTTAACATTTTATAACCAACAGCTTCAATGAGCTTTTCTGATGGCTATAATAGTATTCTGAGATATATGTCTAAACTGTAACTGAAACTGTAAATAGGCTTGCCAAATATTGAAACCCCGACCTGATTCAGGATACTAACAACTAGATCAGAGTTATTTTAAACCCCAACAGGATTGCTCCTGCTGTTGTTAATGAGCAACTATAATGATAACAATTAGTTTGTGAACAAACATTTATTATCAATGACTGAATATATAAGCCAACTGAATATTAGATGACATGAGAATGCTTAATGAAAGGATAGCTGATATGGAACACTGGAAAGAGCTGGGTCAAGCCTTAGACTTCTGTCACTCAGTATTGGTGCCCTGGCCAATCTATATATTACTAAAATTCTTCTTCCTGTTTCTTTGTAGCCTTTAATTGGGCAAACTGGTGCATCATAGAGAAACAACTTTTGAATCAGCAAACTTCCAATGGGCAAATTTACAGAATTTGTCCAAAACCCTCCACCCATGATTCCCATGGGATTGAAATTTGGAAACGTTGTTGGCCAAAAAAGTGCTGCCGTGTTGCCATGGTCAGCCAGTCATGTGATTGATATTTCCAATGTTCCCTGCCAACTTCTTATAAGGAAAGGCAATGAGGAACACAGCAGAAAGTCAGAAATTGCTCCTGCTCCCAATGTTTTTTGCCCACCCATTGTCAGATCTGTGTATCTGCCATTCTTCAATGGAAGAAGAAGGGGGGGAGTTGGTACAAGTAATCCTTTTTGATGTAACCTGTATATATTAAATCTTATATTGAATCTGTATAACTTGCACATGATATACAACTGGAGGACTGGAGCCAGATGTCTAGAAACTTGTCACCTCTTGGAGAGATAGCAAGAGGAGAAGGGACCATAAAAATTCCAGCTCTGGAAGATACCCCTGGGAAACTCTTCTAAGATACGTACCCAGATAAGGGGAGGGGGGAATGAACATGTTGGTTCTTTGTTTGAATAAATCCACATCTATATAAGGGGAGGGGTTCCAACTCCCTTTACCTATTACTGTATGCCTGGAAGCATCTTAGATTCTGCTTTGACTAGTACTGGATTCACTTCCTTTTAATAAAGAATTCCTTTTGAAATACCTAGCTTTCAGAAGTTCATTCTTTTTGGTCAAAGGGGAAAAGTCCATTGCTTACATAAAGCAGAATCTTCAACAGAGGTCAACCCGGAGAGGATTTTTTTAAAAAAATTTCACTCTACCGAGGGGACCTGCAAAAATGTCTGAATATAGCAAGGAGCAAGGGAAAGCTGAATGCTGGGGAGAAACTTCAACAATTACCCAGCCAGACACTGACTTTGTGTACCCCATCGAATCACCCCCAGACTAACCATGGAACAGAACGATCAAACAGCGCATTAGAGCAATATTTAAGATGCTTTATTAATTACCAACAGGACAATTGGTATTAATTACCAACAGGACAATTCCTTCTTTTGCAGAGGTAGCATACAACAACTCGGTCCACAGCAGCACTGGTTTCACCCCATTCCAGGTAGCCACAGGCCAAGAATTCAACCCCATGCCAGAACTACCCACCAAGGAACCTAAAATTCCCTCCCTTAAGGAGTGGATTAATAATTTGCAAGCCACTTGGCCAGTAGTCAGACTAGCCTTACAAGAGGCTAGAGCAGCTTTTAAAGCTCAAGAGGACAAAAAATGTTGTGATCCTAAACCATTCAAAGTTGGGGACCACGTATATTTGTCCACAAAATTCCTAAAATCATTGCAACCCCCTAAGAAACTGGGACCTAAATTCATTGGGCCATTTTCCATCTCCAGAATTATTAATCCTGTTATGGTAGAGCTTCTACTTCCCAAAACACTTAGATAGGTTCATCCAGTATTTCACTGTAGCCTATTCAAACCAGAGATCACTTCAAACTTTAGACCCTCCCCCCACACCTCCAACTCCTATTATGGTACATGGGGAACAACATTTTGAAATTAAAGATATCCTTGATTTGCGCACTCACAGTGGATCCACACAATATTTAGTAGCTTGGAAACACCTTCCTTCCTCAGAAAATGTTTTGGTAGACAAACGACATGTAAAAGCACCCACATTACTATGGAAGTTCCACCTGAAATACCCTCAAAAACCATCCTAATTTGTAAATGTAACACATGTTTTATGTCTTCCAGGTGGATTTATCAAATTTTTGAGGAGGGAAATATGTCAGATCCATGTATCTGCCATTCTTCAATGGAAGAAGGGGGGGGGAAGTTGGTACAAGTCATCGTTTTTGATGTAACTTGAATATATTAAATCTTATATTGAATCTGCACAACTTGCACATGATATACAACTGGAGGACTGGAGCCAGATGTCTAGAAACTTGTCACCTCTTGGAGAGATAGCAAGAGGAGAAGGGACCATAAAAATTCCAGCTCTGGAAGATACCCCTGGGAAACTCTTCTAAGATACGTACCCAGATAAGGGGAGGGGGGAATGAACATGTTGGTTCTTTGTTTGAATAAATCCACATCTAAATAAGGGGAGGGGCTCCAACTCCCTTTATCTATTACTGTATGCCTGGAAGCATATTAGATTCTGCTTTGACTAGTACTGGATTCACTTGCTTTCAATAAAGAATTCCTTTTGAAATACCTAGCTTTCAGAAGTACATTCTTTTCGGTCGAAGGGGAAAAGTCTATTGCTTACACCGATGGTCATTCTATTTATTTGTTTTGATAAGGAAATACCTCTAAAATGGGTCATGACTTGTCTAGTTATTTACAAAATCTTCTAAACTGCCCTTTTTATGGTGAAGCCAGATATAGGATAATTCTGCTTACTAAAAGGTTTAAAGAGGCATCCAGAGAATTTTACCTTCACCTATTGTTGGATAATATTTTGATACAAGTTGCAAGATTTTGCGTTGAATATGTACAAAAGCATATGTGTCTTATAGTTAAAAAACCAGCAGAACTAGCAAGGCAAAATTCTACATTGTCTTCCACTTTATTTACTTCCTCTGTTTTATTTTTTTAATTTATGTCTTTTGTATACATAATCAAGGATTGTAAAGTAGCAAAAGAAAATAGATAATGTTTTATAGTTAACAGATTTATTAGGTTTAGTTAACTAAATTAGCTTAAAAGATTCCAGTTTATATTTTTATGCTATCTTAGCAATACCTACTTATATATCTATATATCAATATTTTCCTGTTTTTCCTTTTTACAATGATAATTGATCATAATGTTTGTTCCATATTTTCTACCACTTATTATTTTCTAATAGCAACAATCTAACATGATTTTGAGTTTAAGTTTATGCCTTAATTTTAAAATAGTTTGTCATATTACATAGAGTTAAATTAAATCTTATACAATAGTTTGTAAAGGATTGTGTTTGTTTCCTAAGGAACATAATTATGGGAAGAACAATAAAAACGAATATTACCTTTTCATTATTTTCTACCTTAGGATGCAAATTGCTTTCTCCATTGCTCGAAAGAGGCATTTCACTTTTTCCACCACAAAGCATGTTCTCTGCAACATGAATGTTTGGTGCCAGGAAGGTAAATTCATTCTTTCTGGATTCTGAGGAGAGGCAAAGCTGGTAGGAATAAGGCAGAGTCCCATCCTGAAAATTGGGTGGAAATATAACCCCAGCTGTGGAATGGGAAACGGGAGCAAAACATGGTAAGAAACTAGAATTTCCTGACTGCCGGAGTTTGATGGCAATGGCCAGAATCACTGACAAGAGGAATAAAAATGACATCACTGCTAAGGCCACCACCAAATAGAACTGCAAGTCCGACTGATCCTCTGAGCTGTTTATCTGGTTTTTCATCTCCGGAAGGGCCTCCTGGAAGTTCTCAGCAAACACCAGGTTCAGAGTGACAGAGGCCGAGAGAGTCGGTTGTCCATTATCCTTCACCAGAAGGACCAGTCTCTGTTTCACAGCATCTCTTTCCATAAAAGTTCTTGCTGTCCTGATCTCACCCGTATGGGAGCCAACAGTGAAGAGGGCCGGTTCTGTGGCTTGAATCAGCTGGTAGGAGAGCCAGGCGTTGTGTCCGGAATCAGCATCCACGGCCACCACCTTTGTTACCAGATAATCTGCCTCGGCTGAACGAGGAACCATCTCAAAGAGGGCAGAGTCCTTGGAGTCTGGTGAAGGGGACAGGATCTGGGGACTGTTGTCATTCCGATCCAGGATAAACACCCTGACTGTGACGTTGCTGCTGAGAGGGGGACTCCCGCCATCTTGGGCCTTCACCTGCAGCTGGAATTCCCTGAACTGCTCATAGTCAAAGGATCGCTGGGCGTAGATGATGCCGGTCTCAGAATGAATGGAGATATAGGAGGAGATGGGAAGTTCTTCAATGTTGCTGGTGAGGATTGAATATGTGATATGTGAGTTTTGATCCAGATCCGGATCAAAGGCTTGAATCTGGAAGATGGAGGCACCAGAAGGATTGTTCTCTGGCACGTAGATGCTGTAGGAAGCTTTCTCAAAAGCAGGAGCATTGTCATTGATATCAGAGATCTGCAGCATGATGGTTTTGTTTGTGCTCAGTGGAGGGGTTCCTTTGTCAATGGCTGTGATTGTAATATTATACTGAGATGCCTTTTCTCTGTCCAGAGGTCTGTCTGTAAGGAGCTTGTAGTAATTTTTAGATGATGGAAGTATCTTAAATGGCAAATTATTCTGCAAATAGCAAGTAGCCTCTCCATTATCACCAGTATCCTTGTCATTTATACTGAGGAGAGCAATCAGTGTCCCAGGAAGCGAATCTTCAGGAACTGGACTGAACACAGAGGTTTGAGTTATCTCTGGGGGATTATCATTCTCATCTAGAACACTTATTTCAATATTGGAATGTGCTATTAAACCGCCCCCATCTTTTGCTGCAACTGTCATTGTATATTGTTTTATTTCTTCAAAATCCAGTAGGGCACTAAGAATGACAGTTCCTTTTGAAGAATCCAGGCTGAATTTGTCCTTTGCAGTAGGTGGTAAATTGGTGAAATGATATGTGATTTGGGCATTTGTCCCTTCATCTTTATCAGAGGCTTCCACCTGAAGCACAAGGGATCCAACCGGAACGCTTTCTTTCAAATTAACTGTATATGTATCTTGAGTGAAAATGGGTGGGTTGTCATTGGCATCAGTGACATTAATCCATATATGGGCAGTCCCAGTTTTCCTTGGTTCACCCCCATCCAGGGCGGTAAGAATCAAGTGAAAGCTCTGTTCACTTTCCCGATCGAGGGGTTTCTGCAGCACCAGTTCTGCATATTTAAGTCCATCTTTTCTCTCTCTAACTTCCAGGGAGAAGTATTGATTTGGACTCAGTATGTAATTCTGGACAGAATTCAGGCTAACATCTGGATCTTCTGCTTTCCCTACCTGAAATCTTGTACCTGGCAAGGTTAGTTCACTTGCCTCCAAATGGATATTGTCTTTGAGGAATTTGGGTGCATTATCATTAATGTCCTGGATTGTGATCGATATATGGAAAACATTCAGAGGGTTTTCAAGTACTACATCCATATTAACAAGACAAAGAAGAATTGTATCACATAGTTCTTCCCGATCAATCCTGTCATTCACATAGAGGTTTCCATTTTTGGCATTGATACTGAAATAATGCATTTGATCTACAGAGACAGCATTCAAATTTCTCCTAGACAGCTCTTGGATATTCAGTCCCAAATCCTTGAGAAGATTCCCTACTACAGATCCCTTAGTCATCTCTTCAGGTATTGAAAAGCCAATTTCTTCTGAAGCAGTACAGTAGGAATATGATAATATTAAGAGAAGCAATACTTGCCTTCTGGCTGCCCTTCCATTGTCTTTGTTCTTTCTATCCATCCAGCTGTCTGCAGAGTTTCTGCCTTTGCCCTGCAACTAGTAGTGATCAGATGAAATTTCCTTATAGCGTAAGAAATCTATTTATATAAAAAATTAGCTTCTTCTTTCCTTAAATTGTTTAGACTGCAAATATTACATTTGTATTTTTCTGTGCTCTGCTGTTTGCCCATTATGTGCAACACTATAGGAGAAAAGTATCAATGAAACATCATTGGCTCACCAGCTTTTCTTCCCATGCCACATTGTCCAACAGTGACACTCTGAGGATCAGTCAGAAAATTGCATTGAATAGTTTCCTATCCAATTAGGATAGCATTTCCAAAATAGAAATGCTATTTCACTGTGATTGTTTGTCTCATAAAAATAAGTTAGTTTGAATTTTAAGGTATTATTTTATTTCTCCATTTGTTTCTTCATGCAAGCCACTGAATATGACTTTAACTTCCCTTTTATTGCATGGAATTATGTAATTCTAACAATGACAGTTATTTGGATTATGTTAATTTGTACTTTTTTTAAAAGGACCTATCAAAATGTAATAAAATTAGGCTCCTGAAAACATTATGTCAGCACTATCACCTTAAAAGTCAAGGTTCTAGCTTCTCTCACTGAGAAGGCTTAAATGTATTATTGTAAAGATATAAAGGAGGTAGCTGTATTAATCTGCTGCAGATGGTAAAAAGGAAGATTTGAATGGGCAGTGATCCTGATCCACAATCACTTATGCAAAAATGAATTAATCTCTAAGATGCCACAAAACTCTACATTTGTCTTTTAAATTCTAGAATCTCATACTTCATTAAACAATTTTTATATAGCTACTGATTTCTGTAAGTATGTGTTGCGCGCACACATGCGTGATGTGTACGTAATGCAAAAATACTTTTTTAAAAAAGATTAGAACTCAGTATCCCCTTTGGAGGATATATTGCTGATTCCAAACACAGTAGCACCCGAAATACCTCTCTCCAAAATACTGTAACTCTGATAAAACAAAATGTTTGCCTTTGCAAGCTTTTCCATCTTTGAAAATATCATAATAATGTGGCACCATGCTCATTTTGATAAACTTCCTTCTTTTTTATGTTCCATTTTGTGAACAACAAAGACCAATAAATTTTACATATTTTGAAGTTACTCTTGAAAAGTATCATAATAAGAATGCAATTGGACAGATCATGGGAACATGCTACATGCCAGTGTACTAGAATACAAAACAGACATTAGAAAGGAAGTGGTAAGTTCTGCATTCAGATTCTGCCTGTGGATTTCTCATAGGCAGCTTCTTAACCATGGTGAAAATATTATCAAAATAATTATCAAAATAACAGAAAAATACATATAGATTGCCTTTTTGAACAACACTAAATAACACAACTACTCCAAAGTCTGGATATTCTGAGTGACTGACATCATGTGATAAAAGTGTGATATAGAATTTCATAGAATTATAAAATTATAAAGTTGGAAACCTTAGATTCATTTTAGATTATTAAGTTCAACCTCTTGTTCCAGAATCCAACTTAAAATATCCTCCACAAATAAATAGCCCAAGTTTTGTTTAAAAATATTCAGTAAAGGACAACCAATCAGTCCTATTGTCCAATTGCTCTTACTATTACAAAGGTTTTCATAACATTCAATCAAAATCATCCCCCCCCCCAATTTAAATTCATTGTTATGGAAATGTTAAGTGTTCTGCCATATGGCACAATATAGTACTGGCCTTGGTGGTCTTCTATATGACAACTATTAGTCTTCTGTTCTCCAAACTAAAGATTTTTAGTTTCTTCAGAACATTTCTAGTTCCTGATCATCCTCAGTACCCTTCTTTAAACCAGTTCCAGTTTTAATTCTTCTTAAACAATGGTGTTCAGGACTGGACAAAGTATTTAAGATGGACTGTGATTAATGCAGAATAAAATTGAATAATACCTTTGGTGATGCAAATAAAATGGCATTTGTCTTTCTTGCAGCCACATCACACCACAGTTGCTTTAGTAGTAAAAACACCAGGCTAGAAAGTGGGAGATCATGGGTTCCAATTCCGCCTTAGGCATGAAAGCCAACTGAGTGACTTTGGACCAATTCTTTCTTAGCCCAGCTCAACCCATCTCGCAAGGTGGTTGTGGGGAAAATAAGGAGGAAGGAGTATTATGTATATTTGTGGCTTTGACTTGTTTATAACAATAATAAAAACAGATTAAAAATCTAACAAATAAATGACCAGTTTATAATTACTATTCTAGGCTTTTTTCCATAACTTCTAGAGAGAGAGTAAAACTAGACTGCTCACTGGAAATACTAATAATAAAGGTAAAGTTTAAACAATTTGGACACATAATTTGAAGGCAAAAGTTACTGGAGAAGGCCCAGATGCTTAGGAAAAGTGAATGTGTTTGAAAAAGAGTTGAAAGAAGTGGCAAGATATGATCACTGGTCGAGAGCAGCATAGAGGAGCGTGAAGAATGTCAGGCAGTCATGTGAAATTAGCAGCTCACATTGAATTAGAAGTGACTAAACTATTTGATTACAACAACAAATATCAAACCAGGTAATATGGTTATTCTTCTCTAATTCCTAATTGTATAACTTTGCATTTGGTCTGTTGTTAACTTACAAATAAAAATAGTCAATGTACTATTTTCAATCACACAAAACTCCATACCTCCAAATCATCAAACTCCACACTGTTTTAAGCTTTACAAAATATAGTTACTATTTATCTCAAGATAATATTTAGAGATATCTTGCTAAATATAATATTATTTGCAGTAGTTTTTAAAGACAACCAGTATTTCAGCAATGGGTGACTTAGTACTTTCCACATTTTTCCTATGCTAATTGATCTTACATGATCCTATTTTTAGAAGAGCATGACTGATTTTGATCAAATGTTGATTTCATTCTTTGTAGCCAAATTAATGAATGCTCATCAGTGGATTCATTTGAAAAGATTGTACACTGTAGTTATATTATGCTCTGTTTCTTCCTTCACCCAACTTCTATTAATGGCAATATCTGTTATTCTTTTTAATAGATGGAGAAGAATCTCTGTTTACAAAGTTTATTTCCGCATTCAATGGCTGTCCAGGTTATTTTATATTTTATTTTATTTTTTTAGTTTGCTTATTTTATTTTTCTTATTGAAAGAGAGGTCAGGACTCTCTATCAAACCTTACATTAGAACTTTACATAGCATCTGCAAATCTCGTACCACCTTTATAGATACGAGGGCCATCCACAAAATAGATTACGTTTTCGTCTGTAGCAAGAAGGGATGGAGCTAGCGTGGCCATCTTTGGTCTGTGCATCCGCCGCTCAGTCTGCATCTAGTCGTGCTAGTGGGAGGTTCGTATCGTTGCCCGTTATTTCACAGCAAATGTTTGAAATGTGTGCTGCAATTGAAAATCCCGCGAGTTATGAGGTGCGATCAGTGATAAGGTTTTTGTTGGCAAAAAACCATAACCGATTGAAATTTTTCGGCAACTGTGTGAAGTGTACGGGGACAACATCATCACTGAAGGTGGAGTGCGCCAATGGTGCATTAAGTTTAAAAATGGCCGAACTACGGCACTCGAGAAGTCCTGAATGCTTTCAAGTGGGAGATTTTTCCTCATCCGCCCTACAGCCCCGATCTTGCACCAAGCGACTACCACTTGTTTCCGAGGATGAAGACCTGGCTTGGAACACACAATTATCACAATTATGGATGGAGGATTTTTAGGGATGGAAATGATCTATAACACAATAGGGGTTGATCTGTCCAATAAATCTTCATCATCCAGAACTTGAACATCAATGCTATAATGTAGAGAATTTTCATAATCTTAATTTCCTACAATTTTCATTTCCCCTGCATTTGCATTCATGTGGAATATTTCAGAAGCTTTGACTGTGATTTTTCAATATATTGTTTATCACAAAATTGTTTGTATATTTCAATATATTTATAACATTGTTTGTATACTCAGAAAGAAATATTCTCCACATTTGATTTTGTGCACCTGCACAGAATTGTCTTCTAAAGCAGGATCTTGAGCGTCTAACAATGGAAATTTGGAACCCAGTATTGTATTCTGAGCTTCTCTGACTGGAAGGTAGGGGCATGATCATTAATATCAGTGAATTCTACTTCAGTTCTTTAATTTTTAATCAAATATGTAGCTATAATCTCACAATTGAAGCTACACTCTCTTCTTTGAGCCCATTTCTCTTCCTTATCCTTGTGATGCGCCATTCTAATAGTCCAAAGCAAAATGTGGAGACTTGCTTGAAGAAACAAAGTGGATGATATAATCAGTTATCTTCTTCATTCCCAGTGCCAAATCCTTTGCAGTTTCCTATCAAAGACCTTTTTTCTGTTTCTTGAGGAATGAGGGAATGGATTGACTTGGTAGATGTTAATAAACAGAAATAAAACAATAACTTCTCTTTTGTGGTTTTAGGAACATTTTGCTATTATTGTTTCTATTTTGTTAAGAAATACCAAGGAGATTTGTGGCTGAAGACTGACAGAGAGCTGCCAGAAAATGAAAATATGTGTTGTTCAACTGATAGTGTCTTACAACTGAAATGTTTGGTCTGTTTTTAGTTTCTCCACATTTATTTTATTTATTTTTATTTATTTGATTTGCCAATTGTTTACAAGATAATAAGTATAAATGTATACATAGTTGTGAATACATGAAATGGTTACATATAAGAAAAATAAAAGAATAAGAGAAACAATAGGACAGGGACGGTAGGCACGTTGGTGCGCTTATGCACGCCCCCTTTCATACTCTGAAGCTGCTAAATTTTGCAGATTAATTTTTCATCCCATTTCTTAGTCCTGAAGTCACAGCTGATAACTTCACACAATTGTTTCCTACAAGTTCATTTATCTTCATTCTGATCTTTATTTTATGTATCAAGAATTTGATTTAAAGAACTTCATGATTATGAAATAAATTGGAATTAGTCCCAAGAATGCATATGAAAATATTATAATTAAAAACTAAGTCCCATTGAAACTAGATTTGTGAAATTAAAGCCTTAAAATTTAGAATATACCTGTTGAAGAATCTACATTATAGTAAAAATAAAAGACTTAATTATGAATTTCAATTTGTAGTATCTTGATTTAACAGTGATTGAATTCCCATATATAATCTTGATATATAGAATAGTTTTGCCTAAAGAATGAGATTGTTTAAGAGTAGCTTTTTAGAATTAAGCTGTATAACATACTTATGAAGAAGCCCATAACATTTTTGCCAACAATTTCATTTTCTTTAGGAGAAACATTATAATGGAGAAAGTGACACTAACACTACAAAAAAATCCATAGTACATGCTGGGCCTAGAAATCAAGTACAGAAAATCTAATTACATGCACATATCTATGCCTAACCAAAAACAGTGGCCAATTTGATATATAGTTTTGTTGTCTACAGTATAGTAAATAGTGACTACCCATGAAATTTGAATAGAAATATCTATTGTCATAAAAACATAAAGGATAGGAAGTTAGTATTAAAAATGGGCATAATTATACATTAGGATGATCTTGACACTTCTGGTACATTTTTTAACAGATTAACAGAGTTGGAAGGGACCTTGTAGGTCATCTAGTCCAATCTCCCTCCCACACAGGTGGGGGGAATACATTCAAATTTGTCTTTATTTCACTGGTGAAATAAAGGCCCTTCTGCACTATAACTTTTGAAATCTTAAGAACCAGTTCATTGCCAAGCCTTTCAGGTTCTGTACTGAAAACCCACAGTACAGGCTTGGGGTGGCAAAAAACATTTGTAAAAAAACTGATTTTCTTGACTTATGGATATAAATTTAGGAATAATTACAATAATTTATATAGAAATGTTGAAAATAAATTAAAATATAGCATATTTGAATGTATAAATTTAGTTACTATATAAATATGATAATTTATGGAGAAATACATGGAGAAGAACAAGAATAGAGTCTGGTGCTCAAGAACCAACCATCAACAGAACTTTCCAGGCTTGAACTGCTTTTCCTTGCAAGCAATGAGGGGGATTCTAGATTACACCTGTAGAACTGCTCTAAATATTCTCCACATTTAGACGCGTGGAAAAATATCTCTTACTTAGCTCCTTACATCTCTTTTTTGAAGCTTTCCAACACTATGGTTTCAGCATGTTAGGGCTGGTTGGGAAGCAATAAAGAGAGAAAGTAATGTTAATTTTTAAATATTACTTATCGTTTATTAAATTTATACGCCACTCGTATCACTATCCAAATAGACTCTTTATCCCTGCATTGAAAACTTCTCTGATTTAAAACAAAACAAAACTTGAGAAAGCTTCTGGCTTCTGGGATTCTATCACAAGCCTAAAGTTCCTAAGTTTGATGAGATATATATATTTTGCTGAAATTTGCAACATAAAATGAAAGAAAATATGGCGCTATGAATCTGATATCCTTCACTGATGCAATTGGCCCTGCTGTGGTAGTTTTGCTCCCTAGCATCTAAAGGGAGATTTATTTCTCTTTCACGGGCTTACAATCTTTTTAAAATCTTTCCATAATGTCCATTAGGTTTAATGGAAGGAACAAAGAAACTATGTAAAGAATCTAATGTTCAAAATTTAAGAAATAGAGAGAAAGATTGCTGGCAACATTGATATTATCTTAACTGAATTGGATTAAATTGCAATGTAGCTGCTCTTTAGACATACCATTCAGGATTATCCAATGCCTTGTCCCTTTTAGAGGTCTGCATTTTTCCATTGTACACAACTTATGTAATTGTAAACAACAATAATTTAACAAAGGTATTGCCACAACAGTTTACTAGGGATCTTTAAATTATTAAATCCAGGAGTACAGATGCTAGATTTCATAGTGCTTGTGAAAGGCAATCTGTAGGCAAATTGGAAGTTATTTAGTTAACTGAGTAAATGAAAAACAAAACTATATAGTACATCTTGGATCCCCAATTTACAAAATCAATAGCACAAAAAGATAATAGAATATTAAATAAAATAAATGATTGTAAAATTATTTTACCTTAATGTCATGATCCATTTCTGAATTTAATTGATTTTCACTGTTGCCTACAAAAGGAACACTATTATCACCATTAAGGGTATTTTTAATAACGTGACTATGTGGTGTCAAGAACATCAATTCATTCTTTCTGGATTCTGAGGAGAGGCAAAGCTGGTAGGAATAAGGCAGAGTCCCATCTTGAAAATTGGGTGGAAATATGACTCCAGCTGTGGAATGGGAAACAGGAGCAAAACATGGTAAGAAACTGGAATTTCCTGACTGCCGGAGTTTGATGGCGATGGCCAGAATCACTGACAAGAGGAATAAAAATGACATCACCGCTAAGGCCACCACCAAATAGAACTGTAAGTCAGATTGATCCTCTGAGCTGTTCATCTGGTTTTTCATCTCCGGAAGGGCCTCCTGGAAGTTCTCAGCAAACACCAGGTTCAGAGTGACAGAGGCCGAGAGAGTCGGTTGTCCATTATCCTTCACCAGAAGGACCAGTCTCTGTTTCACAGCATCTCTCTCCATAAAAGTTCTTGCTGTCCTGATCTCACCCGTATGGGAGCCAACAGTGAAGAGGGCCGGTTCTGTGGCTTGAATCAGCTGGTAGGAGAGCCAGGCATTGTGTCCGGAATCGGCATCCACAGCCACCACCTTTGTTACCAGATAATCTGCCTCGGCTGAACGAGGGACCATCTCAAAGAGGGCAGAGTCCTTGGAGCCTGGTGAAGGGGACAGGATTTGGGGGCTGTTGTCATTCCGATCCAGGATAAACACCCTGACTGTGACGTTGCTGCTGAGAGGGGGACTCCCGCCATCTTGGGCCTTCACCTGCAGCTGGAATTCCCTGAACTGCTCATAGTCAAAGGATCGCTGGGCGTAGATGATGCCGGTCTCAGAATGAATGGAGATATAGGAGGAGATGGGAAGTTCTTCAATGTTGCTGGTGAGGATTGAATATGTGATGTGTGAGTTTTGATCCAGATCCGGATCAAAGGCTTGAATCTGGAAGATGGAGGCCCCAGAAGGATTGTTCTCTGGCACGTAGATCCTGTAGGAAGCTTTCTCAAAAGCAGGAGCATTGTCATTGATATCAGAGATCTGCAGCATGATGGTTTTGTTTGCACTCAGTGGAGGGGTTCCTTTGTCAGTTGCTGTGATTGTAATATTATATTTAGAAATTCTTTCTCTATCCAGAGGTCTATCTATTAGGAGCTTGTAGTAATTATTAGAAAAAGGCAGGATCTTGAAAGGAATATCATTTTCTAAATGACATGTAACTTTTCCATTATCATCAGCATCTTTGTCATTTGCACTGATTAAAGCAATTAATGTTTCAGGTGGAGTATCTTCAGAGAAAGAACTAAATAAGGAGACCAGGTTTATCTCTGGTGCATTATCATTCTCATCACATATTTTTATTTCAATATTGCTGTTTGCTTCTAAGCCACCACCATCTTTTGCTACTACTGTCATTGTATATTCTGCAGTTTCCTCAAAGTCCAAGGGGGCCATAAGTGTGATTTTTCCACTGACTGGATTCAAATGAAATATGGGATGGTTATTTCCAGGCATATTGCCAAAATGATATCTGATTTGGGCATTTGTACCATCATCTTTATCAGAAGCAATAACCTGGAGCACAGGGGACCCTATTGGAAGACTCTCCTCCAATTTGACCTTATAGAGTTCTTGAGTGAAAATGGGTGAGTTGTCATTGGCATCAGTGACATTAATCCATATATGGGCAGTCCCGGTTTTTCTTGGTTCACCCCCATCAATGGCTGTAAGAATCAAATGTATATATGGTTCACTTTCACGATCCAATGGATTATTAATCACTAGTTCTGTGTATTTACTTCCATCTTTTCTCTCTCCAGTCTCCAAATTACAACAAAGATGGGAGCTAAGCTCATAGTTTTGGAGGGAATTCTTTCCAATGTCAGGATCTTCAGCTTTTGCAAGGAGAAATCGAGTTCCAGGAAAAGTGGTTTCACTTATTTCTAAGTTGAAGTTGTTTTCCAAGAAATATGGTGCATTATCATTAATGTCCTCAACTGATACAGTTACATGAAAAACATTCAAAGGATTTTCAACCACAACTTCAAAACTAAGAAGACAGAGTGGAGCCTTCCCACATATTACTTCTCGATCTATCTTTTCATTTACATAGAGGTTTCCATTCTCTTCATTGATGCTGAAGTAGTGCATTTTAGCAATAGAGACTAGATGTACATTTTGTTTTTCCACTTCCCTTATATTCAATCCTACGTCCTTTGCAAGATTCCCCACAACAAAGCCTTTTGCCATCTCTTCTGGTACTGAATAATCGATGTGCTTTGAGACAGCCCAGTGGAAGAAAAAGAATAGTGAGATAAGTACTTGCCTTGTGAATGCTTTGCCATTCTTTCTGTCATTTGTGTCCATCTGTCTTCTTCAATAATAAGCTATCACCCCTTTCTCTTCTTCTTTTAAACTTATTGTCATTAGGTGAAATGGTCTTGAGAATAGATGAAATCTGAACAAGGAAAATTGCCCTTATTCTTGTACCACCTGAACCCGTTTTCCTTCAGTCTGCAAATCAGCTCTGACTCTGTATTTCTCTATTTTCCTAGACATCATTGATAGAACTACATATTGAGCATGAACTCTTTTTAGGAGTCTGTGCTGGCCAACAGCGGCACTTTGAGGTTTAAACAGAGCATTGCAAGAACATTTATCTTCAATTTAAAGCTAAGGATTTGTTGTATTGTGGTATGACTAAATGCTTCTATATCCACAGCATGTGTTTTTCTTTTTTCTGGAGCTTTCTTTCATGCTTTACTCAGCTCTGCTTTTTAAAAAATATACACGTGCACAATTGATTTTGCAACTTTGAAAATTGTATTTGTAGATGATATTTATACGAACTATCATAATTTCTCAATACAATTTATCATTTGGTCTGTGGTCAGCATGGCTTCTGATTGATGGATTTTAAAATAAAGATACTAAATTCAGTAAATGAGGAGAAATAGTGTATCCTATTTTCCATAATAGGATATACAGTACATGTCTTCAAAAAACCTCGCAAGCAGACTATGAATATGGATATTATACATAGTTATGACTTTTGTGGCAATAATATGTTTTGTGTATCTTGACACTATTGACAGTAATTTCTACTGAGCACTAATTAATCAATTAAAACAAAAATATATTGCTTTCCCTTTTCCAAATCATGCCCAGAGTTGTATCATATTCAGGTTAAGTCATATTTTTAGATACAGTAACTATTTCTTTAGCTTTTCTTCCAAACTCCAGACTCCTGTTTTAATGCCATTTCCTACACAATTCCCAACTCTTATCTTTTTTCATATGGATAGATCAGAATTGTAGACTATTCCAAGTGAAGTGACTCTTATAGACCATAGCAGCATTGTGATACTAGCAGTTTTATTTTCAGTCCCTCTTCTATCACGTACTCTGGGAATTCATGGTTCACTTCAGTTTATTTATGAGTTGGTGATAGATTAGATTAGATTAACAGAATTGGATGGGACCTTGTAGATCATCTAGTCCAATCCCCCATCCAAGCAGGAGACCCTACACCATTTCTGACAAATGGCAGTCCAGTCTCTTCTTGAAGCCTCCAGTGATGAAGTTTCCACAACTTCCAAAGGCAAGCTGTTCCATTGGTTGATTTTTCTAACTGTCAGAAAAATTCTCCTTATTTCTAGGTCGAATTTCTCCTTTATAAGTTTCCATCCATTATTCCTAGTCTGGCCTTCAGGTGCCTTGGAAAATAGGTTGAACCCTTCCTCTGTGTGCCAGCCCCTCAAATATTGTGAGACTGCTATTATGTCTCCCCTGGTCCTTCTCTTCACTAGACTAGTTCACTAACTGGATGCAGTATTCTAGGTGGGATCTTACTAAGGCTTTATAGAGTGGCATTAGTACCTCGCTTGATCTTGATTGTATCCCTCTGTTAATGCAATTTAGGATTGTGTTGGCTTTTTTGGCTGCCGCTGCACACTGCTGGCTCATATTTAACTGGTTGTCTACTAAGACTCCAGATCACCCTGCCTCAATAATATTCAAATAATGCTATATTTAATTTTATTTATAGCAAGAACTTTCAAATATTTTCCTACTGTGTTTCCTATTTCAGAAATAGGGAGACCATGAGTTTTAGCCTCACCTTAAGCACAAAGCTAGCTAGGTAGCCTAGGGACAGTCACTTTCTCTTAGCTGTAGGAAGGAGACAATGGAAATTCACTTCTGAAAAATCTTGCCAAGAAAACTGCAGGGACTTGTTTAGGCAGCCTCCAAGAATTGGATAAAAATGGATGGAAGAAAAAAACACACACACAGGGACATTCTTCTACTTAAATTTACTTAAGACCTTTTGAAGAACTTTAGGCAATGTTTCTAAAAGTCCAAGTTACCAAGTTATATTCATTTTACCAGAACATATTACTTTTGAAACAAAGATGTTAACCCATTGCTAACAAAAAAAATTGTGTCATTTTAAAAAGACATGCAAAGTGGAGAACAGGGAAATTAGCTATTTATTGAGGTAATAGGGAGGTAGAAAAGAGCTGTATTATTGCTTGAGGATAAATCTGGAGGTAAAATCTAAAAATACATAACAAGGAGGAATTAATAATTTGCCATGTTAAGAATAGAAATCATACCCACCTCACCTTCAAACTAAATTTTGAAGTTTTAGAGTGGTTATAAGAAAAAGCAGGAATTACATACTCCCATTTCATAGGTTTCTGTGGCTTTTGTCTATAATGTTCACCCTCAGGCATAACTTTTAAAGAAATTAAGCATTCCAAGATTAGTTATCAGAATCACAGTAGTTTTTCACAGAAAATTTGAAGAAAAATGGTTGCATAGATCTTGTCAGAGATCTATGAAGTTACAGTGCAACTGCAGAGGAGGGGAATGTTCCTTATTCAGGAATGTCCATTGAATGTCCAGTGACATAAGGTGGGGATTTATGTCATTTGGGAAATGACATAATGGAAATGATGCAAATAGATACAAATGAGATCATTACACAACTCATGCAAATCACAAAAGAAACTGGGTCTGTTGTATGCAAATATTATTGCACTGAGGTCTGTAAATTGGGATTTTAAAACTTCAAAACTGCAAGGCAAGGCAAGGCTTGGAGAAAAAGTGACTGGCCCATATGGAAGCGGTGAATGATATAATAGAGGCAACAGGCTAGTAGATTTTGCCGAAGGACAGGAACTTTATATCATGAACTCATTTTTCAAGAAAAAAGCCAGCAGAAAATGGACGTGGAAGAGTTCTTCTGGGTACACAAGCAAAATTGACTACATCATGTCAAGTGATAAAACTATATTCTACAATTGTACTGTCACCAATCATTTTAACGTTAGAAATGACCATAGAATGATACAAGCTAAAGTGAAGATAGACTATTGAAAAGAGCATACAAACATGATAAAGACATCACAAAAAACAAAAATAGAGAGTGATAAGCTGTTAGAGAAGAACAGCGATTTTGAGATTAATCTAACAAATTACTTTGCTCTATTGCAAGTTTTGGAAGAGATGAACATTACAGACCAAAATAAACAAAATAGTCAAAAACATCTCTGAATCTGCTACATCTATAGTACCACTGGACAGTCAACAATCTCTGATGAAACTATTGATTTAATGAAAAAACTATGGGCAATGAAAAATGTCAGAAGTTTCACTAATAAACTGGAGTATGTTGAACTTTGCAAGAAAACGTATCCAAGAAAACACACACACACAATATTATTATATCTACAGCAGGGGTGTCAAACCCGCATCATCATGGCAGCATCACATGACGTATCGTGACATTCCCCCCCTCTCTAAACCAGGTGTGGGTGTGGCCAGTGCATGACGCATCTGGCCCACAGGCTGTGAATTTGCCACCCCTGATCTATTACAGCATTCCCACAATCTACTAAAAAAGTTACAGATTAAAACATGAGCTAAGTTTAGTCTGACATATCTTAATAAATCTCTGCTGACTTCTACTCATAGAAGTCTTCGAGTTTACGGATTGAACTCTCTAGAATCTTCCCAGTTATTGATGCTAGACTGACTTTAACATAGTTTAGAAATATAACTAGAAAGTGTACTGTGCTCTGAAGGATGAATTTGGCTCACAATTCCACAATTAGGGAAATGAAAGTTGACCTTTACATTGGCATTGGCACATTTTTAACTATTTCACTCTCTTACTCATATTAAATCCTATTGCAGTTTTGTAAGAAAGCATACAGAAACATTATGCAAACTTACCTTTATATGTGTTATGCTTTGTACCAAACCTCATGTTCTATTTGAGCAGAATAATGAGTTAATTAGACAAATAAACAAGCATAAAGTTATATATATTTATGATTGTTGAACAGTCTTGGATCAATTTTTAAAAGCTCAAGGATTCAGCAATGCATTAGAATGGAACATGTAAATTGCTCTCTTACTCACATTTGACCAAAGAGTAAAAGAAATCTAAAATTCAATAAATATCCAAAGAAAATAAATTTTGCAGATATTCACAATATATTTTTCCAACCCTCATTTATCCATTTTCCTAAACATGATTCACTTAAATGTTTATTATTAGATAGTAAAGCAACAGTTATCTCTTGAAAACATGCTGCCTCAAAGCAATCAAACTTCTTATCTTTTTCTTAGACATACACATTATGAAGAACATCACTTATGTAATATGCACAGATGTTTGTTTATTAATAAACATTGTAACACAGACAATAAATCAGTGAAAATGTGCCTTCGGAATCAATATTAAATGTACTGTATATTAAATGAAATTCATTATTGCACAACCTATGGAGAGAGATAAATATATCTAAAACAGATTTATGCAACTAAAAGAGTTGGAAAAAATACAGTTAACTACAAATAAAATATAGATAGATAGCACTGTGCTAAAACAAAGAGTAAGAAGTTTACCTTTTTATTTTATCTCACCTCACAAGGTAAATTGTTTCCTCCAACCTCTGCAAAAGATGTAGCAATTTTTTAATAAACTGGACAAATCACAAATCACAAAGAACATTTTGAGCAATATTTGGTGTCAGAACAACAAACTCATTCTTTCTGGATTCAGAGGAAAGGCAAAATTGGTAGGAAAAAGGCAACATCCCTTCTTCAAAATTTGAAGGAAATATTGTACCAGTCTTGATATGTGGGACTGGCCCAAAACATTGCAGAAAACTAGGATTCCCTGACTGCCAGAGTTTCAACATAAGAGCCAGAATCACTGTGAACAGAAATAAGAATGAAATCAAAGTAAGGCCAATGAAAATAAAATTGTAGGTCAGACTGGAAATTTGAATTGCTCAGCTGGTTTTTCATTTTTGGAAGGGTTTCCTGGAAGTTCTCAGCAAACACCAGGTTCAGAGTGACAGAGGCTGAGAGAGTCGGTTGTCCATTATCCTTCACCAAAAGGACCAGTCTCTGTTTCACAGCATCTCTCTCCATAAAAGTTCTTGCTGTCCTGATCTCACCCGTATGGGAGCCAACAGTGAAGAGGGCTGGTTCTATAGCTTGAATCAGCTGGTAGGAGAGCCAGGCGTTGTGTCCAGAATCAGCATCCACAGCCACCACCTTTGTTACCAGATAATCTGCCTCGGCTGAACGAGGGACCATCTCAAAGAGGGCAGAGTCCTTGGAGTCTGGTGAAGGGGATAGGATCTGGGGGCTGTTGTCATTCCGATCCAGGATAAACACCCTGACTGTGACGTTGCTGCTGAGAGGGGGACTCCCGCCATCTTGGGCCCTCACCTGCAGCTGGAATTCCCTGAACTGCTCATAGTCAAAGATGATGCCAGTCTCAGAATGAATAGGAGGAGATGGGAAGTTCTTCAGTGTTGCTGGTGAGGATTGAATATGTGATCTGTGAGTTCTGGTGCATAATTCTTCTGGTGAAGAATTGTTCTCTGGCACATAGATGCTGTAGGAAACTTTCTCAAAATCAGGAACATTGTCATTGATAATCAGAGATCTCCCGCATGATGGTTTTGTGTGTGCTCAATGGACGAGTTCCTTTGTCAATGGCTGTGATTGTAATATTATGGTCAGAATCTTTTTCTCTGTCCAGGAGTCTGTCTGTCTGGAGTGTGTAATAATTGTTGGATGATGGAAGAATCTTGAATGGCAAAGCGTCTTGTAAATAACAAGTTATCTTTCCATTATCACCAGCATCTTTATCTTTAACACTTATAAGAGCAATTAAAGTTTCAGGCCTAGAGTTTTCAGAAAGTGGGGTAAATAAGGAAACCACTGTTATCTCTGGGTAATTGTCATTCTCACCTACAATTTGTATTTGTAGTTGACAATGTGTTACTAATCCTCCACCATCTTTTGCTGTCACTGTTATAATATATTCTTTGGCTTCTTCAAAATCTAATGTTTTAATGAGAGTAATCATCCCTTTGATTGGATCCATACTAAATTTTTCTTGGGCATTTGTTGGTAAGTTGCTGAAACGATACCTGATTCGAGCATTTATGCCTTCATCATCATCAGAAACAGAAGTCTTGAGCACAGTAGTTCCAATAGGAGCATTTTCTGTCAGACCAACTCTCTAGACCTCTTGAATAAAAATGGGGGATTGTCATTGGCATCAGTAATGTTTATTAATATTTGCACTGTAGAATTTTTTCTAGGCTCACCTCCATCTATTGCTGTAAGAATCAAAAATATAGAATCTTGACTTTCACAATCTAAAGGTTTCTGTAGAACTAAATCTGCAAATTTATTTCTATCTTGACTCTCTTCTACTTCCAAAATGAAATATGGATTGGAACTGAGCTGGTAATTCTGTAAAGAATTTATTCCAATATCAGCATCTTCAGCTCTTCCAAGAAGAAATTTGGCGCCTGGCAAAGTAACTTCACTTGTTTCCAAGTTGATAGTGCCATTAAGGAACTGTGAGGCATTATCATTAATATCTTGGATGTTTTATGCTTACATGGAAAATATTCAGAGCGTTTTCAATCACTATTTCAAAATTAACCAAGCAAAGCAGAATTTTACTACATATTTTTCCCAGTCTATACTTTCGTTTATATAGAAATTTCCATTTTCTGTATTGATTCCAAAATATTTCATATCTTCCACCAAGGCTGCATGCACATTGCGTTTTGCCAGTTCTTTGTTACTCAGCCCCAGATCCTTAGCAAGATTCCCCACAATAGAACCTTTTGTCATTTCCTCAGATATTGTATAATGAATCTGCTCTTGGACTTCACATCTACATGGGGAAAATTAGACCTTTTTTCATTTTGTCTTGCATATCTTGGAAAATTCAACAGTGGTTGCTGAGGAGAAATTGCAGGGGGTCACAAAGTACAGACTTGTGAAGCCAAGTCAATAACATATAGAGGGAGATCTTGGTGTCCTGGTGGACCATTACCTAAGTATGAGTCAGCAGTATGCTGCAACTGCCAAAAGAGCCAATGCAGTCTTAAGATGTATTAACAGAGAGATAGTATCTACACCACTATAAATATAACCTTCTTATCACTTTATTCTACTTTCAAACTAGTGTTTTCTGGTTCTGGTTATTGCCTTAGGTATTGCCTGTTGTGCTTCATTTTTTTCAAGACCATCCCTGCACTGAGGTAATTTCACAGAAGCAGATCCCTGCATTTTTTCCTGAATAACATCGGTTGCATGTATTACACCAAATTTATTTTTTATTGCTTTTGCCTTGTATGCAGAACTTTCTTGGTTTCAAATGTAGCTTCAAGTATATTTATAGTTATAACTGAGTATAATAAAACGGTATAGTGGTGAATGTACTACAACTGAGTATAAGCCAAAGCCTAAAAAAACCTTTTGTTTCCCATTGCCTTGGAGGAAAATTAAGTGATTGGTCAGTTCTGTATTTTATTTATCTAGCTTAATGTGTAAAATAGACAATACAAAAGTAATCCAGCAATTTTGTAACTATAATATTAGATTTTAGTAGTCTTAAATGTGTTTACCATCTACAGTACTGTACAGAATTGTACAGAACCTAATTTGTACAGTAAATTAAAAAGTACAAGCAGGTCTGAAATTTATGTAAAACAACAGACTAAAATCTATACAGTTAAAAGTATCAATTAAGAAGTCTACAATTCTAAGATCTACAAGATGCTTTAAAATTTACTAACATTTAATTAGTTTAAAATAATTAAATTAACTTAAACTCTTAAGATACTGGGATGATAATTAATCCAGTTAAAAGATGCGTTAGTAAACATAGCTTACAATAATATTACAATAATAGTATTAGGTACTGAGATTAAATTATAAATATAGAATATTTCTAGCACACTTAACATTTACTAATACTATATTAATTCTAGTCATATTTTATGTGTTGTTGCAAAGAATGTGTCTACATTAGTAGTAATTGTCCATTATTTAAAATTACCATAATAACTTGATATAAAAGACGGCCTTGTACTCTTAGGAGTAATAGGGTCAATGAATAAGCTATGGATATCTCTAGAGTATGTGCAATGGGAAAGTACGTATTCCATAGTTTCCACTTGGCCATTACCATGTGGATACAAATAAATAAGTACAGTGACTCAATAGAAGCAAGATATGACTTGTAATTGGAACATCAAATTTCAAATTTCAAACCAGCTTTCTACAGATTCAAAGACAGAGGAGAGGACTCTGGCTTAGCAATGAGAAATGACCCTCTGGTTCACAATATAGGCAAGTAATAGGCAAGTATTGAATAGCACATCCTTGATTGTTTCATTCAGGGTTATATTGATATAAATAGGGAGGCTGCGAGCATAGGTTTCAATTGTCTTGACTAAATGGAATATTTAAAACAACTGGTCCCTTTTAATAATTTAAACAATACAGTCAAAAGAAGAACAGAGATAGAGGCAAGCATTTCATATTGACTCATCAGTATCTACATTACAATAACACTGTTGAAATCAGCCTCAAATATAAGATCTAGCAAGAGCATTAATTAATTAAGCCTATAACTTATGCAGGAAGCAACCAATGGCAAGCCTTACGCCCACAGGAGACGTAGATTGACATAAAGTCATATCTGCATGCACGAGGGGGGCTTCAAATAATTGATGATAACTGCCTCAGCAAACCACAGGAAATGAGAGTTCCAGTGACATAAGGTAAAGGTTCCCCCGCACATGCATCTAGTCATTTCCAGCTCTAGGGGCAGTGCTTATCTCTAAGCCAAAAAGCCAGTGCTATCCGAAGACGTTTCTATGGTCATGTGGCCAGCATGACTAAATACCGAAGGGGCACGGAACACTGTTATCTTCACACCAAAGTGGTCCTTATTTTTCTACTTGCACTTTTTATGTGCTTTCAAACTGCTAGGTTGGCAGTAACTGGAGCTCACTCCATTATGCGGTGCTAGGGATTCGAGCCGCTGAACTGCCGACCTTCTGATTGACAAGCTCAGCATCTTAGCCACTGAGCCACGGCATCCCTTTCCAGTGGCATAGTAGAAGAGAGAGTTTTGATCCACCTGGAGTTTTGATCCAAAACTCCACAGAGTTTTGATCCACCTGGTGTCTCGCAATGGCATTTTATGGCCATTATTTGCTGTTGTTGTTGGATTACTCAAGGCTGTTTGGACCCATTTCGGAAGATGCTCCTTTATTCTGAAAGCCAAATACCTATCAATTCTGCTGATGTAATTGTCCCCGCAATTCAAACAAATTGGTAAACACAATGCTTTTTGGTGCTGATAGGTTGTGCTTCCTTAATTAGGGGCAGTGGTAGTCTCTGGGTTTGATGTAATATGTGAAGCTCAAGCCCGTAGTGAATGCTGCTTCACTTAAGATTTTTAAGCATCGAGTCATCAAGCATGCCAATTGATCCCCTTTAAAGGGCAGCTCAGTAAATACCTTCTTTTACTGGCAGTTGGAACTGTCGGCTTTGATTCTCTTATTTTACTGTGCCTATCAATAAAGCACCTGGGATAACCGTTTGACCAGAGTGTTTAGTTCTTCTTTTAAACAGTCCTCAGTGCAAATTCGATGTGCTCGTATAAATAGTGTCGTTACCAGCGCACATTTATACTTAATTGGTGTAAAGCTTGAGAAATTCAGATACTGGCCAGACCATGTTGATTTCTTATATACCATTCTTTTAATGGAGCCATCACTCCTTTGGATGATCAGTATATCTAGGGAGGGTAAATGCTGATCTATTTCATACTCAGTGGTAACTTTCATGTTGGGATGACAGCTATTCAGATGATGCCCAAAGTCACCAATAGTCTGTCTTGATGGGCAAAAAATGAATCTATTTTCTAATAGTGTCTATAATATGACCACCTGTATATATGATCAGATGACCGTGATTCAATCTTATGCAAGCCCATCAATCTGTTGATAAGACCAAGGAAACAAAAAGAAACATTTTCAGTGCATAATAATACAGTCTGTTTGAGAATGTCAATTGGTATAGGAATTGATATCTAGTTAGATTCCACTAAACTGCACGTATAGTCAACTGTTTCATGAAGTAGAATGTTAATGAATAAAGACTGAATGTCTACCGAACAGATGATGTCATTTTCCACATTGAGGGTATTCAACTCATTAGCAAGCTCAGACAAGTCCTTTCAAGTTGTTTTGATAAGCTTCTCTCTTACAGAAACCAGAATATTATGGGCCCAGCACGCAAGCTGATGATAAGTGGAGCCAGACATAGCTAAAATGGGTCTGACCAGCATTCCTGGTTTATGCATTTTTGGTAATCAATAGAGTTGTGGCATCATGGATATATTAGGTTTTAACTTATTGTAGGTCTTTTCATCAATGATTTTCATCAATAGCATCATAAGTGGAATATAATAACTGTTCAACTAAAAAGTTCAATTAAGTAGTGATATAACCTGCAATGTGCAATGTGCTTGTGTTCTGGTTTCACACATCTAAATTTATCTTTTGGGAAAGAAATCCCAGAATTGGTTTCCCTCCTCCCCCATTTTAACTGTGATACTGCTTCAAGGTATGTCCATGAGAAAGTGATATAAAATATATTAAATAAAAAGCATTCCAAAAAAGATTACATTTCTAGCAATTGCAGCAAATACAAGACACAAAGAAGTTTCATTTGAAATAAAGCTACCAGCTGAAAAAGGGAATAATTATGGTTTTATTATGTTTTAGCATGCAACATGAATGATCAATTTCCATTCATTATGGTTGCTATTTGTACTTTGTATTGGACTTCTTTGGCTGTAGAAGTAATTTGTTACTTCACAGGAATTCAACAGTGATTTGGTGGAGCATGTTACTGGCATTCTTCTGTTTTTCCTTTTTAACTTTAAAATTGTAAGTGGCTTTCACAACTTCATCAGGAAATGTATTAGGAAGTAAGAAGAAAACTCAGCTTTTAAAAAGTTGTCTTTTGTGCTTATATTCATTTGAAATTGGAGAATAGACTTTAAGGAACAGCTATAATTTGCTTTTTCATAGCTTAATTTATAATAGTGCTCCTTCCAGATTTGTCAAAATAGTTCATACTTCAGATATAACTGTGGTGCATTAATATGTGCAGTGCAGAGGTAGTTTGAGACAGGTAACAATTTAGTCTGAGGCATTTGATAAAATGTAAAACTATACTTATATACTTCTTTTTAATAAAAATGTTCATAACTAAACACCAGCATATGCTCTTGGTTCACATTATCTCTTCTAAATAATTATGTGTACTGTTCTGAATGCTGAAGTGCTTTCTGCAAATTATTACTGCTACTATTGCAACAACAACTACTGAAGAAGCATCACATATTGATCATTCGCTATTCATATTTGAATATTATTTTTTCTCATTTAATTTGCTATTTCATTCAAAGCATATGTTATTTGAACTTTCCTTTCACTAAACTTGAAACTTCTATGCAAAAACCACAAAACTGCGGTGATTTGAGTTTCACATAAAACTTTGACTTAACACAACTAGCAAATATATTTTCAATTGGAAGGAGACCATGCTTGTTCCATAGTCTAATTCTGAAATAACATTGATTTACAAAAGGCATGTTAGAAACTATTATAACTGTAGAGATTCTTGAGTACAATAAACCAATGAGCAAACAATAGGTAAAGCAGAAAGTATATACAAAATCATAGAATCAAACATTTATTGAGAATCTTTTAAAGGAGAGTTAAGAGTACAAAATCAGTACGAATAAAAAGAACTCACCAAATCAGTTTTATCCATCTCAGAATTTGGGATATTGCCTCCATTGCTTGCCAAAAGCACATCATACTTTTGGTTGCATGAAATATATTCAGCAGCTTGAACTTTGGGAGTTGGAAAAGTAATTTCATGTATCTTGGACTCAGAGGATAAGCAGAGCTGATAGGAATAAGGAATAGTCCCTTCCTCATAATTCGGTGGGAATATAATGGCATTGCTTGAATGGGGAATGGGAGCAAAGCATGGAAGAAATTTCAGATTCCCTGACTGTCGGAGTTTCATCATAATGACCAGAGTTACAGTCAAGAGGAACAGAAAGGAGATCAAAGTTAAGGCCAGCACTAGGTAGAACTGGAGCTCAGACTGTTGCTCTGAATCCGTGGTTTGGTGATTTATTTCTGGCAGTGCCTCTTGGAAGTTTTCAGCAAAAATCAGATTGAGACTGACTGTAGCAGAGAGTGAGGGCTGCCCGTTATCCTTCACTAAGACCACTAGTTTCTGCTTCAGAGCATCTCTTTCCAGAAGTGTCCGCAATGTCCTGATTTCACCAGTGTGGGCACCAATTGTGAGGAGCCCCGGCTCAGTGGCTTGCAGTAGATGATAAGAGAGCCAGGCATTGTGGCCAGAGTCGGTGTCCACAGCCACCACCTTTGTAACCAGGTACCCCATCTCTGCCGAGCGAGGCACCATCTCAAAGGAGGCTGAACCTTCTGCTCCTGGAGAAGGATACAGAATTTGAGGGCTTTGATCATTTTGGTCCTGGATGAACACCTTCAATGTGGCATTGCTGCTGAGAGGTGGGGAGCCTCCATCTTCAGCCTTCACCTGTACCTCAAACTCCCTGAGTTGCTCATAGTCAAAGGACCTTTGAGAATAGAGGGTGCCACTTTCTGAGTTAATGGAGAGGTAAGACGGGAGAGGTAGCGCCTCTATTTTGCTTGTGAGGATGGAATAGGTGATCCTAGCATTGCGACCAAGATCGGGGTCTACAGCTTTGATGCTGAAGATGGAGGAGCTAGCAGGATTGTTCTCTGCCACATAGACGGTGTATGAGGATTTCTCAAAGGTAGGGGCATTATCATTGATATCCGAAATCTCCAGTGAGATGGTTTTCTGTGTAGAAAGAGGGGGTGTACCTTTGTCTGTGGCTGTGATTGTAAGATTGTATGCTGGGGTGCTTTCTCTGTCTAGGGGACCATCTGTCAGCAGCTTATAGTAGCCATTAGTTGCTGATACTATTTTGAATGGGGAGGCATTTTGTAAATGGCAATTGACCTCCCCATTATCCCCTGAATCTTTATCCTTTATATTGATGAGGGCTACCAGTGTTCCTAATGGAGAGTTTTCCGGAATTTCCCTGGATGAGGAGGCGAGAATCAATTCTGGGGCATTGTCATTTACGTCTAATAGCTTTATTTCAACATTACAGTGTGCTACTAACCCACCTCCATCCCTTGCTTCCACTGCTATGGTATACTTCTCTGTTTCCTCAAAATCTAGCTCTTCATGAATTGATATAAATCCCTGTTCAGAATCCAAATCAAATTTCCTATGAGCATTATTAGCAATATTTCTATAGAAATAGTTGATCTGACCATAGGAACCTTCATCTTTGTCTGTGGCTTTCACCTGTATTACAGTAGATCCTTTTGATGCATTCTCTTTTAGGCTGACCAAATAAAGTTCTTGACTGAAGATGGGTGCATTATCATTGGCATCAATGACCCTGATCCATATTTTGGCTGTTCCAGTTTTTGTTGGATTACCACCATCAACAGAAGTAAGTGTTAAATTAATGCTTCTTTCACTTTCGCGATCTAACTGTTTCTTTAGCACTAATTTTGGATATTGTTTTCTGTTTTCCACCAGTCTAAATTCAAGTATGAAATTCTCATTAATACTTAGATGATAATCCTGGAGAGAATTTGTTCCAATATCAGGATCTTTTGCTTGTTCGATTGGAAATGTGGCTCCTGGTAAAGAGGATTCACTTATCTCTAGTTTGATATCACCATTTAAGAAATGTGGTGCATTGTCATTAATATCCTGGATCTCTACTGTTATGTAAAATATGTCCATGGGGTTTGCACTCACCACTTCAAAACTGATGGGGCAGAGTGCAGTTTCCCCACAGATTTCCTCTCTGTCAATCCTGTCTTTTACATACAGATTCCCATTTTCAGCATTGATGGAGAAATACTGCTTGTTGCCTAAAGAAAGGATGTGCAGGTTGCGATTTCCCACTTCTGCAGCACTCAGTTTCAGATCCTTGGCAAGATTCCCCACAATGGAACCCTTTCCCATTTCCTCTGGAACTGAATAGCGAAGGTGCTCCGAGACAGTCTGGCAGACGAAAGACAATAAGAAGAGGAGACGTACTTGCCTTTTTACAGATCTGCTCTTAGCTTTGCTCCTGTCGTCCATCCCAGCTATGATGAAAAGTGCTTTGTGCAATCCAGTAAGCTGAGCAGTATAAATTCCCATTGGAAAGAAAGCATCAAGAGGGTCCTGGGATTCTCCTGAGTTTTATCTACACTGCAGTGGTTTTCTTTTCTCTGCCATGGTCGGTGAGTGTCCCTTAATCCTGCTCTTTGACTGCTCTGCATTTGGTGACTGGATAGTCAGAAGGCAGGAAGCCCCATTAGATTTCCAGCTCCTTTCTGGGCCAATAGCGGCGCTCTGAGTCTCAGATGCAGAACTGCAAGAAGCATCTTAAAAAAAATTACTTCTATTTTGCTGATGATTTTATTTGGTTTGGAAGGTCTGTTTGTATAGATTGCTAAGTAATATATGTTTCTTGTTTCCTTTTCAGTATTATCTATCTGATAGAAAATTTCAAAAATCAAAAATTATGCACAATTCTTTTTAGTAGCACTGGAAACTTTTTGTCAATCCATAACTGGAAGATCCTTTTATTATTATGTTCCATGTGACAGAAAAGCAAAGTGTTTTCAAGTTTCTGAATGTTCCAGAAAGGGAGCAAAACGTTAGAAAAAAGGTTGAAATAGAGTCCAAACGCACATTGTGATGTAAGACATACAGAGTCACTTGGCTAATAAGATGGGCGGCATTTAAACGAAATCAATCAATCAATCAGTCAGTCACAGGTCAGATGGATAAGCAGTGGAAAGTCATTCTCTAAAAGGTAGTTGCAGACTAAATACAGAGTCAATATTGTGTGTTAATAGTGCCAGATGATGGGCACTTTTCAGGAAGAAGATTGTTCTGGAACTGGAAACTATGCTCTTGAATGGCATTTTGCTCTTAAAGTGGAACTGAAAAGTAACAGCAATATGGAAATGAAGTGCCTTTTATATGGTCTATAATGATTTCATACTTTATAAACTAGTAATAAATACATAATACACAGAGGTTTTACTTAAGTAATAAGTATACTAAGATGATTTTTTAAAAGATCATCTTAACTGCCCAGAGTTGCTGGAAGCCAGATGGCATAAAAATGTAATCATTATTATATTAATAATAATAACAACAATAATTACAATTAAACATAACTGCTGAAAAATTGATAAGAAAATGCAACACACTTTAAAATGGTCATAGGCAATAGAGACTTAATAATTTCAAAAGTTATTGATAAATTCCAGTCTTTAATATGAGAGAAAAATACTGCATGGAGGATAATTATGCTAACTGTATCTAATTATTATTATTTAATTTTTTATAAGAAACAAGTTTCTATTTAATTTAATTGTGTCCTGGCTCTGCTTCCTCTTTGAAATCTGCCTTGGCTATATATGGAGTTTGGCTCAGAAATGCTAGCACACTTGGGACTGAAAAGATGGGGTTCTAATATTTTATTCTTCATCGGTTATGCTATGAAGTTCCCAGATTTATTTAGTTGCAATACAAGATGCGCAAGGAATGTGTGTATAAATATCTGAATTTTCATTCTACACCTATCTCGTAATGTAATGTAACATAACATCCAACTAACATAAAATCATAGGGCTAGAATGGACCTTCAAGGTCTTCTAGTCCGACCTTCTGCCCAAGATAGGAGACTTTATACCATCCTGAATAAATAGTTGCCCAATCTTTTCTTGAAAACCTCCAACTCTGGGAAGTAAGTTGTTCTACTGATTAATTGTTCTCACTTGTCAGGAAATTTCTTCCCCGTTCCCAGTTGGATTTTAATGGACTTCCACCCATTCCTTCTTGTCCTGCCCTCAAGTGCTATAGTGAATAAATTGACCCCTTCTTCTCTTTGACAACCCGTCAGGTACCGGAAGACAGATATCATGTCACCCTAACCCTTCTCTTCTTTGGCTAGACATACCTAGTTCTCTGAACTGTTCTCTCATTATTTAATTCCAAATTACATGAATCAGTATTGTGAGGCAGTTGCAAAATGGTAAATACAGTTTAGCTGCAGGAAGAAAAGTGGAATTTTAAATAATGGGAAATTTAAATTTATTTTTCATTATTCAGACCCCAGCATTATAGTATTATTTGTGAATACCCACATTAAAAAATATTTAGACAAACTGGAAATAGATTCAACGAAGTAAAAGGATGGTCAGGCAAATATAAATATGAAGAGATATTCAAGAGATTAGGCATGTTTAGGCTGGAGACAATAATTATTTGTTTAGTGTTCTCTTTTGTGACTCTTGGCAATCAAAATAATGATGAGATTGTTAATATAAGAACAGAAAGAATAGTAGCACTTTTCAAGCACCCCGATGATACAACAAAGAAAAATAGAGAAATTGAGAAAATGTAGAAAAATGTCCAAAAGTAAGACATACAATAACCAATTTAAGTTTTAAGAAAGCAGGTTCTGAATATTACAAAGCATTTATTGACACTAACAATGATTTGACAATGGATCCATCTGCCTACAAATGTAATCAACTCTCCCTTCTTGGATGTGTTCAGAGGCAAAACTAGATTGCAATCTCCCTAGAATTTTTTATTTGGACTCTTGTATTCAACAGAGATCATGAATGGTAGCCAAAATTTTCAGAATCTATGATTCTATGGACTTGGACTTGGATCGTGACCAGTTCTGAGTTTTTTTTACATTCTATAATCATGAAGCTTGAGATCATAATCAGAAAGCCCATAAAGATTCTCTAATGATAAAACTCATGACTACAGATCTTTTAACTTTGTATGATCACTGCATTTTTAAATGGAATACCAGCACAACTATCATTACAAATTGTTTTTATTTGACTGTGATTCTTTAAATACATATATAATTTACATATAAAAAATATAAGACACTTCTCTAAATGGAGTGATATAATCATTTGCCATATCCAGGCTACCAGAGTAAGGGAATGGCACTTATAATGAAATGCATGTAGAAAGCAGAATTTGATGAGATCTTAGAGTTGCCTCTATATAGTGCAGGAACAGCATGCATTGAACAGCATAACCTGGGATTGTGTACAGGAATATCTGCACGATATGTGGGTTAGATCCTCCCAAGTTCAGATGGGAGATCCAACAGAAGGTCATGAAGAATAAGAGGGCTGAGATCCTATGGGACTTTCAGATCCAGACAGATAGGCAGCTACTTGTCAAGCAACCATTGTGGTAATAGTCAAGGAGCAGAAGACAGCAGTGGTGATACAGTAATGTAGCGGTGCCAAGTGATAGCAACAACATGAAGAAGGAATATCAGAAGTTGGAGAAGTACTAGGAAAAGTAGGAAGAACTGGAGAGGATGTGGAAAGTAAAGGCCGAAGTGGTCCTAAAATGATGCTAGGAACACTTTGGGCTGTGACTCATAAGCTGGGAGAGTGGCTTTAAGAGATACCAGGAACAACATCAGAGCTCTATGTCCAATGTTAGAATCCAATGTTATAAACATCTAAGATACTGTGTAAAACTTTCGAACTCCCAGTCTCTGGTAGAGGTCCTGAGATTGAGGAAGACACATACCACCCATGGGTTGAGAAGTATTTTTATATATATAATGAAAGAAAGTCTAACATAAATGCAAAAGTACTGTATTACCTGGGCTATCTCTTTGTTCTAGCAAATATTTTGAGACTGTAAAATCAAGACATTTTTACTTGTACACTTGGGACTCAGAAATTTGTAGTCAAACCTGAAGTAATACGTATCAACATAGTCCTAAAAGCATTGTGACACACACACAGCCCCGGAGTGGGATTTCACCAGTATGACAACTGGTTCGGTGATCGTGTGCTCTGTGCGAGCTCTGCATTTTTAAAAGCTCTAATACCTTCTACATCAGTCCCTGTGAATAAATAAAACAGCTGAGGCACAGCAAACTGCTCTGCTGCATGAATCAGCTATGCTCTTAAAAAAGGAAATAAAGCACAGGGAAGAGTAGGGTCAGGTTGGTGGGGCCACATGTTCATCGCAGCGAACTGGTTTGCTTCCAGATGATCTTCTGAGAAAGGAGCTCGCCCGAACGGGTCCAAACCAGTAGAATCCCACCCTTGCTCCCCACCAATTTTGGTATGTATCCTTCAAAATAATATCAGTACTTGGTGCTGGCATTCAAATGCTGCCACAGAATAATATGTTGAAACTGAGTTAAAAACATACAACTTATTTAAATAAAATAAAGAGTCAGATTAAACTTCTTAACTTCATACAAATACTAACCGCTTAGACAGAAGAACTTCAGTAATAAAATTAATATAACTGATCCTATGTTAAAACTATATGGAAGTTCTTAAAAAAAGAAGCTTACCTTGATGTTACACTTAGGTGGACCATTTTCTGAGAAAGCAATGTTTAATGGCTCAGTGAAATATTGTGAAGAAATACAATTTTAGATGTTAGAAAAGTAAAAGAGAATGCAATCTACTTTGAGTAGACATGTCTAAGAGTCTGCTGTCTTTTAGGGGGAGCTGTTATAGAGGTTGCAGTTCAATATTTACCTTCCCATTATTCTCCATCTCAGGTTGTAATGTTTTTCCTCCATTGCTCGAAAGAGGCACTTCAGTTTTTTCACCACAAAGCACATTCTCTGCAACATGAATGTTTGGTGCCAGGAAGGTAAGTTCATTCTTCCTGGATTCTGAGGAGAGGCAAAGCTGGTAGGAATAAGGCAGAGTCCC